ATGTGATTTCAGCTGAAATAAAGCAAAAGAGTACGGAAAGAGTACGGAACAATTTATCCTTCCCTTCAGCAGAGATTATGTGACCAAAGTACTAACATTTTATTCACATGACTGACGTGAGAGGGAACCTGTAGCAGTGTTTTCTGCAAAACAGATAAGTATTTCAGCCCTTCTTTTATATTTATCTGCCTCAGTAAAACAGTTTAGATCACTTTATGGTCAAATTTACTTATAGATCCATTTTGATGTGGATCCTCAACCTGAGATTTATTTCAGTTTTGAATAAAATGGGGAGGGGTTAGAACCTTTGTCTGGTTTGCCCTTACTTCCTGCCCAGGGGCGGACTGACCATTTGGAAACTCGAGCACTGCCCGAGGGCCCAGGGTCAGTAGGGGGCCCCATGAGATGCCCCTGGTACCTTTTTCATAGGCTTTTTTTAGTTTGGGCAAGAACACAGGGGCCCCATGATCCCCTATTGCCCGGGGCCCCATGAGTTGTCAGTCTGCCCCTGTTCCTGCCTATAATATCACAGGTACAGGAAGGAGAGGACATCACCTTAGCAGCAACATAAATCGAACAGGAGTTGGGTTTCAATAAAACAGGTCAGGGTGACATTCTACAAAAAAAAAAACAAAATATTAGCAGGTCCATTTTATATTGCATTTGGAAGCAGCAACAATGATGGGAAATAACATTTGAACAAAGCCTCTCATATTTGCTGGCACCCTTAATTATTCTGTAAGCAGGGCTACTGAAATGGATTTATTAATGTCCCAGCATGACGCCCTTTAATTGTTTTGTAATCAAAGAGAACTAATTTTCTAAATGGATACCGTCCAGCTAGATATACACATGCATTTAATTTTGAAAATTCCAATGTATTTTTAAGGAGATGTAAGAATAAATTAATACTGTTAATAGCAAGTACTGAATTTTTTAGCTGACAATTTATGAGATATCTAACCTCTAAAATGGTTTCACAGTCCTATTCTCCAAGTAAGTACTTACAGCACTGAAGACACATGCACAATACTTTAACTGACCACTACCAGAATATCTTCATTATATTGGTTTCCATTAAAGATTATGGAATAATCGAAATTGAGAACAATTGGGGAGGGATATAAACTCATGCTAATTATCACCTGGCCCAGATTTGTTTTTTTTTTAACTTTCCAGCATGAAAATTGCCAAATCTACACACACACACACACACACACACACACACCATTATTGCCCTTGCTTTTGATCTATTGACCTGATAATGGAAACCATTTCCAGCATTAAAGTGTAACTAAAGGCAAAACCCTCCCTGTTTGTCCTATTTACTTTTATCACTGAGCATAAAAGTGGAAGAAAATCTTACATTTTGGATTGTTGCGCTGCCATTTTTTTTTAAAATTATATCATCGTCTGCAAGTTTCTTTTTCTGGGTTCCTTTAGCCAGCCCATGGACAACGTGTGCAAAATCGCATTAATGCACACTAATTGGGTGTTTTAATGTGTGAATTGTGTATAAAAGTTTACCCATTATCTCACAAGATTTACCAAAGGCAGTGGTACCTTATGGATGATTTCAGAACAGCATGCTGAGTAGCATGCAAAAGGGGATTGTGTCTTTGATAAGGGATGGGGGGGGGGGGGGTCTGCTTTGGGCTGGCCATACACTAGTAGAATTGTGTTTGAAATTTTTTTGTTTTCAGAACATTTGTTTAATTTTCTAATTGCCAGTCAGGTCAAACTGACATTTGTTTTCAACCACAGTATTAAAAAATTCGAACCAGCAGGATGGAAAATTTGAATTTTAACAGTGAATGTGGTTTTCATTTGGGAAAGTCCATTCATTCCAAAATCCGATGTCAATAGCAAACAAAATTTTAAAGCGTTTGTTAAGTCATTTAATGTATTGATCAGATTTTTTGTGAAAAACAAAGTTTGCACAAATGTTTGTTTGTAAATCTGCCAGCTTTACTTTTTCATAGGGTGGTGCATGCAGCCTGCCGTGACCCAGTGTGTATATGACTACTCTCTTGTCTGCAGCCTGCCACCTGCTTTGATCCCTGCCTGGACCTGACTACTCACTCACCTACCTCAATCCCTGCCTGGACCTGACTAATCTCTCACCTGCCTCAACAACCCCTGGACCTGAGTACTCTTTCACCTGTCTCGACCTTTCCTGTACCTGACTACTAACTCGCCTACCTCAATCCCTGCCTGGACTTGACTACTCCTTACCTTCCAAGACCTCTTCCTGACCTTACCACATTCTTGTCTAAAGCCCTATGAATATCTGCACCATAGCCTTTCTGTTCCAGTCACCCCCTCTTAGTGGGGCAATCCTGAGGGGCATGACTTGATGTTAGTTTGTAGCAAAGAAAACTAGGATCACTAGGGTTCCTGGCCCATCTCTACCACCAGCACCTTTGGGGAAAACCAACTGACACTGAGACGCCATGTCTCGGGTGAGTCCATGCACCTGCCAAGGAGGAACATAAAAGGGCACTTAAGCCTGGTTTGAACAGTAACAAGGTAACAAAATATGTCTCGGTGAGGCAAGGGATATTTCTCTTGTAGCCTATAGAGATGGTCCAGATACCTCTTTGACCATTGATGGAAAGTCTAGGACGATTCAAATCTGGGGGTAGATGGGGTGTGACAAGGTGGCCTGCAAATTTTACCCCTGTACAAATTAGTTATCCCTCATCTGGAATATGCAGTTCAGTTTTGGGCACCAATTCACAAAAAGAACATTGAGAAACTGGAGAAAGTACAGAGAAGGGCAACCAAACTGATAAGAGGCATGGAGGCGCTCAGCTATGAGGAAAGATTAGAGGAACTTGGTGTAGAGTTACTCACCCTGAGGTCATCACAGAGGACAAGGGGCACTCTTTACGTCTGTAAGAAAAGAAATGTAATCTCCAAAAACGGAAAGGTTTCTTCACAGTGAGAGCAGTGAAAATGTGGAATAGACTTCCTCAAGAGTTGGTTCTGGCCAGCTCAGTGGATTGCTTTAAAAAAGGACTGGATTCTTTCCTAGATACACAGAATATAACTGGATACTAATATTTATAGGTAAAGGTGATCCAGGGAATATCTGATTGCCTCTTGGGGAATAAGGAAGGATTTTTTTCCCCTGCAGGAGCAAATTGGCTCATGCTTTGCTAGGTTTTTTTTGTCTTCCTCTGGATCAACTGTGGGTGTAGGATTATAACTTTTTCTTTTTAATGGTTGACCTGAATGGACTTTTGTCTTTTTTTCAGCCAGACTAACTATGAAGTCGGGCTTGTGGTTGCAGACACAATAGATTGTCAATTCTATAGGGGGACGTTGCATGGTATTTGGTAAATTGTGCCATTTGAAATCCCTGCTAATATTTAGTTGTTTTGCACCGCCAAAGAGCTTTGGGAATACCATAATGTGTCAGGGTAGTGTGGGTTTTATGTTGCCCCAGATAAAGTATTTAATTTTCTTTAGTATGATTAGTAGGATGTGAGGAGGAACACAGACGAGGAGGACTTTGAAAATATATGTGTTTTGGTCATTTTTACCACTGCAATATAACAAAACTAGTATAGGTGGATGGTGTTTGTAAAAATGTGCTCTGCTTGGGGTGTCTTGATTCCAAGAAGGACGAATAACTCTTACAACAAGGGTTAGGTTTATTTACAAACAGGGATACAACTATATAATATTTACAAATAAAGAATTGGGGTAATATACACTGGGTAGAGAGAAGGACTGGGGAAAGGAAAGGGATCTATAAGCTCCTATACACAAATCCTCCTCATTCTCCTCTATTCTTTCATGCCAGGGCCCTTTTTGTCCAGACTTCAGACCCACACCTCCAGCTGGGGGTTGTTAATTGCAGTTGTAAGGTGTTGAATAACAAGCTACATGCCTGAGAATCAGTCTTGACAATGTTGATAGCCATGCCCCCTGCAACTTTTTTTAAGCCCATTGTATTGCAAGCAATAACAGCCCAGTTGAGAGTGGCAACTCTGCTCTGAATTCAACATCAGTGCAGTATTGTTGCCACTCTATTATAGGGAGCTGCATTAGGTGGACTTCACTGGCAGGATTAACCAGTATTTGTGGGACTAGTTTTTTAATGGGAGGCCATAGTTATGCCAGCTTCAGCAATTGAAGAAAACAGTATACAGTGGCAGAGAATGGCCCTCCATCTTGATCTTATTTATGTCATTGCAGAAACATGGCAGTTTATTAAACTGGCTATGGTGTCTATAAAGTATTTGCAGTACTTCTAGTTTTCAGGTTAGAAGAGGGGAAATATATTCATAATTCCTCATCCAGATGCCAGGATTGAGAGCTAATGTGTCCAGCTACCTATGTTACTGCCTTGGTCATACCCTCAAAATGGTATTCAAATTCATAAACAATATACAATATTTCTTTCAGTAAGTCTATTACAAAAGTCTGGTAAAAATTAAAATCCCACTTTTTGGGAATAACTTTGCTGTATTGGTAGATTTAGTAAGAAATCTTCGATCAGCTGATACCTTGTCCAGACCAAAATCCCTTATAGTCATATGATTTAGCTGACCTTTCTAATCTTTTTTTATGAGTGTATTTTTTGTAAATGTTGATTTTAGGGCATATAAAACTTTCAAGTTTCAATAATAACTGAAATGTTATTCAAATATTTTTGTAAAATAAAACCAACAAAATAGAACATACTGTCTCTCTGCCTGAACATGTGCCAAATACACCCACACATATTGGGGACTTTGAAACAAAAATAGAGAGCGTAATAAAATGTATATTTAATAGTATATGTCAGCAAATGGAACTAAGTGCTAACAGTGGCAGATGAGCACTAAAACACACACACAAATTAACCCTTTGCCCGTCGCCCTATAGCAGAAGTACTGCTACAGAGTGGCAGAGCTGTGCAAAATCATGTATATATATGTAATTTGCATTTCCAGGTAGGGAGCGCGTGCTGCCCTACCAGCACTGCCAGTGCTGGCTAGGGATGTCAATCACCGGGTCCCGGCCAAAAATTCACCACTGGCACCCAGCGATTGTTGGGGGGGAAAGCTGACAGGGGAGACTTGTGTGTAAACAACACAGTTCTCTCTCCTGCCAGCAAGGATTTTCTGCTTTGTATTTCTCTGCACAGCAGAGAAATACAAAGCAGCATGTCTCCTACTAAAACACACACACACACACTACAATGTAAAACAGCACACATCACACAGTTAACCTTTTGATCGCCCCTCATGTTAACCCCTTCCTGTTCAGTGTCATTAGTACAGTCTCAGTGCTTTTTATTAGCACTGATCACTGTATTAATGTAATTGGGATGTCAGTGGCAGGTAATAAGTTCCCACCCAGTGTCAGAATGCCTGCCGCAGTCCCGCTAAAAGTCGCTGATCGCTGGCATTACTAGTATAAAAAAATAAATAAATAAATAAAAATTCCAGTATCTATACCGCCATTTGTAGACACTATAACTTTCATGTAAACCAATTAATTTACATGTATTGGGATTTTTTTTAGCAAAGACATGTAGCAGAACACATTTTATGAAAAAATTTGAATTTTTTAAAAAATGTTCACTGAATATGTTTTATAGCAAAAAGTAAAAAATATTGTTTTTTTTTTCAAAATTATCGGCCTTTTTAGTTTATAGCGCAAAACATAACCGCAGAGGCGATCAAATACCACCAAAAGAAAGCTCTATTTGTGGGGAAAAAATTACAAATTTAATTTATGCACAACGTTGCATGACCGCGCAATTGTCAGTTGAAGTAACGCAATGCCGTATCGCAAAAAATAGCCTGGTCAGGAAGGGAGGTAAATCCTTTGGAGGGCAAGTGGTTAAAGTGGTTATAAACCTCTGATATGTAATATGAACAAAACATATCTTTCTATAGTGCGTAGTTGCCTCAATCCAGAGCACTAAGGCCTAAGCACTAAGCATTGACTAAAAATGGGGAGTGCAAAATCTGGCACAGCTGTCCATGGAAACCAATCAGCTTCTAACTTCAGTTTGTTCAACTAAGCTTTTGCAAAAAAAAAAAAAAAGAAACTGATTTTGAACTCTCCAGCTTTAGTAAAATCTAAAGTAGTTCTAAAGCTTTAAGGTTTTTCGCCTTAACAAGTTCATATCAGTATATATATCCAAAATGATATTTTTACCCATTGAGATCTGATGTGTTTTCAAAGTGTTACTTTTTGTTTTCAAAGTGTTCTTTTGAGCAGTGTATGATTTTACATTTTGATCATAGATACTCTTTAAGCACTAAGCTCAAAGCCTACAATCCTGAACCTAATGGCTAAATACCGATGCCTTCAAAACAAAGTAACTGAAGTTGAAAGATAAATCCCATAGGCCGATGAGGTAAAATGGTGGATCGTGTTGTCATAACAATTACAATGTCCTTATTTCAAATACAACATTTCTCACTGCTGTTAAAGGAGCTTTGTGGCCTTACATACAACAGTATCAACCTCAGCTGCCTAAAAATAGGTAAAGGGCAATGTAAGTATATGTATGTTTGTAAGGGTATCACCTCTGTGTGCTATAAAACAACTGGCACTACAGAGCATAGCTTTGATTTCATCTCATTTCCTTGAGGGGAAATCACTTAAAACCCATTTAGAATACTCAGGAAAGCAAGCAATTTGCAGCCAAGTTGCAATGCTGAGAATGTACAATCTGAAAACAAATAGCACTGTTCTATAGAAGGAAAATAAGTTCAAAACAAGTGGTGAATAGCTGAACAAATGATGCCATAAAACACCAAAGCCAATACAATGTATTCATGGTTTATCAGAACAAATATATAAAGTAAACTGACTAGTAAAAATTGTAAAATGATACTCTCGTTAATATCACCTGCTAAAAACAATCCCCAGAATGGCATTAGAGATGCTGGCAGTGTATATGTATATTGAGAATGAGGTCTCATTCACATGGGGAGTACTACAGTGTACAGAGTGTGTTCGGGATCATGCACTTGCACCCTCACAGATTTCAAAGCTGTGTCTATGCGACCACTGCACAAACAAATGGCAACTGACCCAATCTATAACTGACCATTGCAGCAAGGAGCACAATAAAGGGTGATGCAAATCAAACCACAAAAAAGAAAAATTGTTAGTTTAAACTATTGACCAGCCTGCAACCAACTGAATTGTCCTGTCTAACAGTTTGCGTTAATAACAGGGCCTATTCACGGCACCCAATTATTTTCTGGTACCAAAGAAATTTTATTGAATAAATCAACAGATTATACAGATTATAGGAACATATGTGATACATAATTGAACAATCATTCAAAAGAAAAGAAAACTATGTACAGTTTCATAAGGACAAATATGACCCACGCAGGGGCCCATGTAGCAGAAAGAAGCTTGATGTATGGTCATCTAGAGTAAAAACTTGAAGATACATCTAGCACATAGCCAGAAGTATAGGAAAACCTGATAGTCTACAATAAGTAACCACTGTAGAGTCATAGAACGTGAGTGCCGAGATGTCTCCCATCAATATCCCATCAATGACTCACCCCAGGGGAGGGAAAAAAAAAGGGAAAAAGAGGGGAGGTGAGGATGGGGAAGCGCGACGAACAACATCAAACAGTGGCCTCAGGGGCCTTAATAATTAAACCAGTCAGAAAAAAGAGAAAAAGTGAGTAGAGAATAGCGAACAAAAAGCGGGGGAAGATGGGGAGAGAGAGATCCAATCAGCTCAGAAGGAAACATAAAAAAGAAATGGAGAAGAAGGGGGGGTAAGGTAGGGGGATACAGACTAGGAGAAGAAAAGGAGTTCACCAATGAGGAGCGCAGGAGCACGTTGCCCCCACAAAGGGGAGCAGGGAGAGTATTACCCTGTATGTTAGAGATTGGTCAATCTCGTGGTGAAGTGGAAGACTGGATGATAGTCCACCCAGGGTTGCCAGACAGAAAGAAACTTGTCATGTATCTTCCAACACCGCTGTTAGTTTTTCGTTGACAAAGAAGCCCTGGATTCTAGACTTGACTTCCTCAAATTGAAGAGAAGGGGATTTCCAAAAATGTGCTAGTTTGTTTGGTAGCCATGAAAAAAAAAACAAATCAGTGTTCAAGGTTTACGAGGTATGTCATGGGGGGATTTAAAAAGCAACGCTTCAGAGGGGCATTCTTGATGTTGATATGCATGACAGAGTAAATAAGGTTACAGACTCTGGTCCATAGACAAGGAGCGACTAGACAGGTCCACTATGTATGGAGCATCATACCATCCGAATGGGTCGTATCCTGGTACATGTTTGGCTATTCGGGCCGGTGTAAAGTACCATCTGGATAAGACCTTATATGAGTTTTCCAAAACCTGTATGTTGTGGGAGCATCGAGAAACCACTTGCCATATGGACACCCAATCTTCAGTAGAAAAAAAACGTTTTCCTGATGCTCTCTACCCCATTGAATACAGTAAGTAGGTAAGGGCTCTGCTATATTATTTCAGATTGATAAATGGATGCTCGAGAGAGTGACCTTAGCTGATGCTGACACCTTGCAAAGTGATTTGAAACCTGTTAAGGTTCTGGGGGATCTTGTTTGTGGATAAGAGGTTCAATAAAGTGGTGTATCTGTAGGTATCTAAAGACCTCAGAAGGTGTGAGATTGTGACTTTCACGAAGTTGGGCAAATGTGCATAACATCTGGATCGTTAGCAGTGAGTAGATTGTCATAAAACCATGATTTATCCACCAATGGAAGGCCCCCTTCTCTGATTCGCCTGGGGGAAATAACGAGCAATCAAATAAGTGAAGAAAAGGTAGATGAGGAGACAATGATCCTGCAGAATATTTACATGAGTCCCAAATTCATAAGGAATGGGCCAGGATTAGATTTAATGGTATAGGTCTAGAAGACGGGGGAAGCCAGAGCAAAGGAGAAGGCAAGACAGGGTGTGTATCTAAAATATCTATCAATGCCCACAAGGGCAAATCTTTTCTAGAGAAACCTTGGGTAAAGGGAGTGGACTGGGCTGCAGTATAATAGTGGTGAATGCTGGGAAGTCCAAGGCCACCTCGAATTAGTAGGTGTCTGGACAAGCGAGGTCTTCTCAAAGCCCAGACAAACTGCAGAATTTGACATTGTAGAATACGTAGTATGTGGGGTGGAACATGGATAGGAAGTACTCGAAAAGGATAAAGCAGTTTGGGAAGATACGTCATTTTGATTGCATGGGCTTGGCCAAGCACCTCATTATTTTCCGCAGTCCTACCTCTATACATTTTGAGAGCCTCGACAGAAGGAGGCTGGTTGGCAAGTTGAGCTGGGAATTTTTCTTCTTTTTTTTTCTTTTCTTTTTTTGTTATTTGATATGTGACCCCTTTCACACTACATAGCAGTAACCTACTGTAACCTGTCTGAACACATCCCCTTCCAGCCTAAAAAAGCTGGACCTCAATTTGGTAAGCCACGCAGAGCTTATTATTATAATAATAATGTTAATATCTTTGTTAATGGACAACATACAAATGGATATGCCAATACAAAGATCATTATTAGGTTTCATAATGAGTTTTTTTTTTTTATTTAGAAAATGTATTTGCTGATGGACAAGTGCTTGTGGCAGGACAAACCTGTCAAAAAGGCATTAAATACCGATCAAGTTAATATTAAAATTTACTTGCAGCAATTTTTGAAATAGAGATGTCATCTTTAGGGCATTTGAGGGGAGCAGACACAAACTTTGAGCCTTTTTTAGAATGTATTTTTCCCTTAAAATCGTATTAATTTTTAATTCGCAAACAAGGAAGAGAACTGTTTTGTCATCCAGTAAAATATCTAATCATGTCACCACACATACTATTTTAAGGCCCATGCTAATTTAACTAACTTAATCTCTGTCTGTTGGAAAGAGATTACTTTGAACAGAGAAAACTGGGGCATCAAATTCATATAGTATGCATTATTTTGTAGACAGTGTGCCTAACATGTAGTAAGCAGCACTCACTCTCTAGAACATGCTTCTCAGGACTGCAAAGCACGTTCTTTTTGACAAATCACCTTTCTCAAGTCCATTAATTTCCTCTCTACCTAGCCAGGTTTTCTTCAGAGATATTAAATGCATAAAAGCTGTTTTCTTGGCCTCACTTCATTGAATTGTACAAAGGGCTGTCTACATTTACTTGTTTATTGCTGTAGTTTTATTCAGCTTGGGATTTTGCCAATTAAAACTGATTTTTATGGACAGCAGCTGTTTTGTTTGCTGTTGAATTATGAGTTAAAGGGGATGGATAAACTCTTGGCTCAATAAGAAATAAATACCATTATTACAGCACACCACAAAACACCCTACAGGGGCACATAAAGAAAGAGAGGTGAAATATGGAAACCTGGATCCCCAAATGTGACTGTTTAGATGTA